TTGCAAGTGTTCATCCTTTTTCACGGCCAGATGAACAAGGGGCCCAGAAGACAGAAAAAATTCTACCGTAGAAAATTGTATCTTTAAGACATATTTAAGAGCGTATGCGCAAAATTTCGGGCAAATGCTTTTTAAATGCATTCATTTTTTTTTCGAATTTTGAGAAAACTAAAAATTAGTTTTGAAAAATTTAAAGGCAAAATGAAAGACGACATTATTACTGAGGGCCGAAAGTCCCTTTGAATAAACAAAAAGTTTCTTTTAAATAAGATATTTGAAATTAAAAATCACACATTCATTATGCGTTTAAAATTTTCAAAAATACTTAGTTTTTTTTCTATAGTTTTCTTCTAAATAAATTATTCTTCTATATATATATATATATATATATATATATATATATATATTATATATATATATATATATATAATATATATATATATAAACACTATATTCGGATTCGAAAAAAATGAATGGATTTAAAAAGCACTGGCCCAAAATTTTTCGCCTACGCTTTTAAGATTTGCATAAAAACACAAAAACTAAAACAATAAATTACCATACAAAGCATTGCTGAAACCAAATGGAGCAGAGCCAACCAGGTTATAATTGATAGATTATGTGTAGGTTATACATTTATAACGCGTACATTTTTATTTGATGGAAAGAAGTAACCGGTATGTGATAGATGTAAGACAACTCTAAATGTAAAATACTTGTTATACTGTACAAAATATATTCAAGAAAAATTCAACAACAATCTTTCCAGCGATCTCAAAGCATTATTAGACGAAAACTGTAACATAAATAATATTATCAATTTGCTTTAAACCTGCTGTACAGTTCGAGTCATCAATGAAAATGTACTGTTCGGATCAATATGACCCAATGCTCCAACTATGGTTTACAATCCTAAATCGAAATAAAATAAGCTAATAGTGCTAAACAAAACTTTATTAACAAAATATTTACTTCATCTAATTTACGTATCGATGCACGTCATCCGTGTCATAGTCCGTGAGGTCACATGATACCAACACGAAATATTTAGGCGGTAGGTGTGTTCTTTTTTAGAATCACTTTGCAGAGTACACTGGCATTACAGCCACTAGACATATTTTATTATATACGCGTAGAAATAATATTTAAAGATTTCTATTAATATTAACTTAAAGAAATACACAATAATATGTTTCATTTAATTTGTATAAAATGCATTATAAAGCGTTTTTATAAAGAACATTTGTTCGGAACACACTGTAACTGTAATCGAACGAAGGTGAAATTTTGGCATAAATTGGTAACACTTATTTGACAGTTGCGGCGTTGACACTTTTCGTACTTTAATATTTTGAATTTTAAAGCGAATACATTTATGTTTTATATTTTTATCTATTTAATAAAATCTGTTCTTTTTAGAACAAAATTAGTGTGTTATTTCAAAAATGTCACATATGAATTTAAATAGTCGTTGTAAAGAGATGACAATACTTTTGCAATAATTATGTGACCTATTTGATTTCAAATGGATTCAGGATTTTTTTTATACTTTGGCAACTATGTCAACTTCGATCTCTGAAGTTGATAATGACGTGCAACGATATGTAAATTAGATGAAGTATAGTTAATTAAACAAAAATAAAAGGCATTTTTTTCTTTCCCAGAAAAGCCTAAGAACAAATACGTACAAAATTTAATTTAGTTTACAACTGAAATCGTAATAAAAAAATGGGTTTTACAAATATGTTTGTGACATATACAACAAAATATTAGTCTTGTTTTCATTTTTAGAGCAAAATTTACAGCGGGCTTGTTTAGCAGGTAGAGTTGGATTATACATAGACGGTTCACCAGAATTTCTACCTTCTCTACTCGCTTCTGTTCGTGTTCTTTTTACCAGTTCTTGTGAGTCTTCAGTTCTTGGTAAATCTTTCCGGAAAAGGACAAGTGGCTTCACCAGTGTTTTTCCCAATTCCTCAAGATAAATTCGCCGTTTTTTAAGTTTGTTGGAGATACATTGAGGATTTATTAATGTCCATAAAACGAACGCATTACAGGTAGAAATGTCCAGCATATTATAAAAAAAAATCATAGGCCAGCGATTTGTCTTCCTCTTACATGTATTGTACCAACAAGTTGATCTAGAGTATTCACTGCTCCCTTATTGGAATTATAATCTAAAATAATTTGGGGTTTTTGTCATTTATGTCACAAATAGCCTTATCATGATACAACGTACTCATAAGAATATCATTTTTATTCTTTTTAGGAATATAGTTAACAACATTGGTATCTTCTTCATTCGAAATTTGTGCAGGAAGCTCTGGCTTATTGTTTCTTATAGTCCCCAGCATTGTATATTATTTCCTTTTAGAAGAAATCGTCCTAAATTGTATGATATAAAAAAGTTATAACAAGTAATATTGTGGCCTTTCAAATAACGACACACCAAAGTCGCCCACCACACGCATTCCCTGATTTCGTTCCGGCGCAGCACCTGCTCCCTTTCCTGTATAGATCTGAAATTATAGAGCATACAAACTTTTACTGTCACATAAAGCCCAAATTTTTATGCTATATTTTGCTGCTTTGCTTAGAATGTACTGTTTGAACGGACAGCGGCCTCTTCTTCTTCTTCTGTGGCACCCTGGATGGGTCTTTGCCTGTCTGGCTATGTCCTTCCATTCAGATCTCTCTTGTGCCCTTCTTCTTCATTGTCTTATGTTCATTGTTTTCAGGTCGTCTTCCACGTTATCCAACCATCTCGTTCTGGGCCTTCCTTTTTTTCGCCTTCCTATGGGCTTCCATTGTAATATTTTCTTTGTTGTTTTTGCATCGTTTTGTCTCTGGACATGTCCCAGCCATGACAGTCTTTGACTTTTCACAAATCTTACAATGTCATAACCTTCATTTAACTCATTAACCTCGTCGTTTTTTCTGATTCTCCATGTGCCATCTTCCTCTTGTACCGGGCCATATACTTTCCTCAGTATTTTTCTCTCGAATGTCCTGAGTTAGGCTTCATCTTTTTTCGTCATTAGCCAAGTTTTACATCCATAGGTTACTACGGGTCTAATCAGTGTTCTGAAGATAGTCATTTTGGTTCTTTTGTCTAATAATTTTGCTAATAAATCTTTTATTAGCATAGTATGTACGATTCCCGCTGGAAATACGTGCATTAATTTCGCTACTTCCACTACAGCGGCCTCTAAAGGTATCTAATTGTCGTCTACGGTAACATTTTCATCAGGGTTAAAAAATTTTGGTGGATTTTCTACCCATTTTTTACAAATTTCACGTATTGCTGCAAAATTATTAGTGTCCCTCCTATCCTGTCTAGTAGTTTTGTTACCAAAACGTATTACTTGCGAAATTTTTGTAAATACTTCCAAGGACATTGTTGCTCGAAATACACTATAACCCGTTTGTTCATTCCACAAACTTCTAGTTGATTCGCCATGGGACTTAAAAACTCCAGCTAACAATAAAATACCAATGTATGCTTGAAAACCAATTTTATCCAAGTCTTTTCAGTTGATTCCAAAAACACGTTGTCCTTTCTTGTTGGTCATATTTATAATTTGGTTTGCATTTATGTCAGAAAAGAGTGCGCCAAATGAATTTTTAATATCGAATATCGAATGAGTACCTTGTAACTCCTTATTATTTATGAATTTATAACATTGGCCGTGGAAAAACGACCGCGTTGATAAGAAGAATCAAGAGGCCACTGGATATTACCGTATTTTGAAGAAACTATTACAGAAGGTTCTACAGGATGTTGTACTTAGAATGGAACAGCAGAATCAACACTACTTTCTTGCTCACTCTCACTAGTTGTATTGCTTTTTTGTTTCTGAGATGCACTCATCACTCTCTGACACGATCGCGAGCTCGCAAAGCTCATCTTCAGTTAGCGTTCTTCAAGGCGACATTATCAGCATGTAAACATAGACTGAAATTGGAAATGTAAATGAATGCGCTTGGCATATCAGTGTCCTACCAGCCTACCACTTGTCTATCACCCCCACTTCCGTCTACGTGAAATGCCCTTCTAAATGACATTGTCCAGCCACACTACACATTTTTTACAAGTTCTAGCTTGCAGAAACTTGTTTCTACTTATTTATGTATCTGACTGACAAATTGTTGTATATATAAAATATTGCCAACTAAACATACGTACACAGTTCATTTTTACCGGTTTAAATACGGGCATTATATTGACCCGAACGTACTAGAAGTAACAATTAATTTTTTATCAAAAAAATCACTAAGTTGATTTTTTATCTCGTATACAATTGAAAGAAGTATAATCTCGTAAGTAATTAAGTCACGAAACACTAAAACGTTACGCCGCGTAATAATTTGCAATATAAGAAATAGATTTTTGTTTGGGTCAAATAGACCCGAATATGACAGCAGTATCATCCATGATGGGTGGATCGTGTGACTAATGTTGAGGTCTTACGAAGATTAGGCAAGGAATGCGAGATTATTTACACCATCAAAGAGCGCAAACTAGAACATCTTGGCCGTCTTATGAGGAATGAACAGAGATACGGCTTGTTGCAACTCATTCTTCAGGGAAAGGTATTTGGAAAGAGAGGACCAGGGAGAAGAAGAATATCTTGGCTTCAAAACCTGAGAAAGTGGTTTAATACATCGACAACCGGACTATTAAGAACAGCAGCAAGCAAAGTTACGATGTTGATCGCCAACATCCGGAACGGATATGCACCGTAAGAAGTTGAAGAAGAAGAAGAACTTTTTCATCTATTGTAAATTAATTAAGTATTGTATTATAACTCAATGTAACATATCGCGAATATCCTTTACTAGTTGATACGACTGATATTAAAAATCCTTTTACAGTAGATGGTACTAAAATTAAACCTTCCATAAAATATGTGTACTACGACACTTAGAGTCTAGGCTAGCTACATCTTATTAATTATAATTATAGAAAAACAATTATATATTATAGAGGTGAATATTACCTTCCAATCTAATGTTTATTGCGATACACATCACTGTCACAAAAACAAATTCAAATTTTGAATAATTCTGTATACGTGAACAATCGTTTACACATTCAAGAATTTCTCGCAATCACATTATTTTAATCGGCATTGAAAATCTCGTGTATTTTTTTATAATTCCTGACCGTTGTTTACGTAACGCAGACTAGAAAAGTGTAGATGTAATCATTGACTATATATACAACTTGGCCGATCCCTTCGACATGTTGCTTTCTAATGAAGCGATTCATAAATACGAGGGGACTTGTAAAACATATTCAGTTAGTTACACACAAGTAACAAGGACATTTTTTTCATGAAGTAAATGCAAATAGGTTATTTAGATGAATTAAAGAGGTATTTAATTTTTTCGCTACTGTTAAAAACTAATAAAGGCGTAACACAAGATGTCAAAGTATCTTCTTCTTCTTCAGCCTGTGTTCGTCCACTGCTGGACATAGGCCTCTTCCATTTGCTTCCATCTATTTCTACTTTTGGCAATTCTCATCCACTGCTTGCCCGCGACTTGTTTGATATCGTCTGTCCACCTCTTCTGCGGTCTGCCTACTCCTCGCCTGTTCTCTCTTGGTCTCCAGTTTGTTAATCTTTGTTAATCAAAGTATCTAGACCGGTAGAATGTACATGTACAAGTATTCGTAGTTTGGTATTGAAAAAATTTATATACTCCCCAAAATTTAGATACCACGGGAAAACACCAAAAAGATAATATCCAAAGTGGTGAGAAAATGGAAAGCCTCACAAGTATATTCTACTGAATATTTACATGATGTACAAATTGTACTCATTCCTTCTTATTCCATACGTCTGTTTTGACTAATAATATAGGTAGTTGATATTAATGTTATAAATTTTCTTAATTACCCTTAATGTTTTGCTACTAATACCTCTCTTTTCTAATATTTCCCATAATTTTTACTTTGGTACCGTGTCAAAAGCCTTTTCAAGATCTACTTACCCCAGATAGATTTTTTTCTTCTGTTGCTGATCATTGGTGCTTATGCCTTTCCTGAATCCTCTTTGTGATTCCTTAAGTGTGCTGTCAATTTTTTCGGTTATTCTTTTGTTTAATATTTCTTCGTATACTATCATGGCAATACTTGAGTGTTCTTACCCTATAGTTGTTGCAATCCGTTCTATCACCCTTTTTATAAATCGGTAATCTTTGAGCATTCTGCTAGTCAATTCATATCTGTTTTTCTCTCCATCTGGCATTAAATACCTTTAGTAATAACTCTGTTGTATTGTGTCCGATTGTTTTGATTTACTTTGTATTTTATCACATCCTGGTGCCTTCACGTTTTTCATTGCTGCAATAGCTTTTTGCAGCTTATTTATGGTTATTGAATCTACATTATGATCTATTCTTTAGTTGTGTTCTTCTTGATAGCAATGTATTTGTAGCATCTTTTGGAAATATTCTCTCCAATATAATCTCTTCAATGTTTTATTTTCTTTTGTGAAAAGTTCGCTAGTTTTGTTCTTTATGTTTTTATGTTTTGCATTTTTTTTGTAAAAAACCCTAAGAACCGAAATGAAAACCCTAAGAACAATAATGGGGAAAACAAGAAGGGACAGAGTGAGAAATACAAACATTAGAGAGCAGTGCAAAATTCAAGATATTGTAAGATGGGGAAGACAGCGCAAGAGGATGTGGTACAACCATGTAAGACGAATGGATAAGAATAGACTCCCAAAAATTGCCCTAGAAAACAATTCGCCTGGTTCAAGACCCCCCGGAAGACCACCTAAAAAATGGAGGGATAGTTGGCAATCTACCTCCCAAGAAATTAACCAGAGGCAGCTTCAGAATTAAACAGATCGAAAGATCTCCAAAAAGTAGAAGATGAAGCATTTTTTTATTTCTTGTTATATATATATTCTCTCTTGATACAAAAGTACGAGTGCTGCGATGTCTTTTATGTCTTCTATTTCCTTTTTTATGCTGTTGAATCGTGGACCTTAAACAAAGATATGTGCAGAAAACTGGAAGCATTTAAGATGTGGCTGTATCGGAGAATTCTTAAAATCCCGTGGACTGACCGAGTCAGTCCTGAGTCAGTTCTGTGGAGGTCCTCAGAAAAATGAATAAGAACCGAGAGGTACTGACCACCATCAAATCTTGAACGCTACAGTTCTTCGGACATATTATGCGAAATGAATCCAGATATGCTCTCCTTCAAGCCATCCTGCAAGAAAAAATATTTGGAAAACGAAGTCCAGGAAGAAGAAGAACATCTTGGTTAAAGAAGCTCAGAATCTGGTTCAATACAACATCTGTGGAGCTTTTCCGCGCTGCGCTGATAAGATAAAGATTACCATGATGATCGCTAACATTCTTAACGGATAAGCACATCAAGAAGAAGACGACTTTGCTTCAAAATAAATTCTTTAAAAGTTCTCTCTCTTTAATCCTGACCCCCCAGGGGAAGTGTAGTGGTCGACGTGATGTCGTGTATTGTCCGTCTCCAGAGATCTCTGTCTCTGGTCATTTCTTTTAATTCATGCATAGGTCTTTGGCATATTCCTGTAATTTGATATATCCATCTTGTTGGGGATCTTCCTCCTGATCTTCGGCCTTCTACCTTTCCTTGTATTATGAGTCTTTCCATGTTTTCTGTGTTTGCTCTCATAACATGCCCAAAATATTTTAATTGTTGGAGATGGACTTTACTAGAGAGTCGTTGGCTAACTTTTAGCTCTCTTAAAATTGAATTATCTGTCTTCAACAGAACATTTCAGTGGCGTCTATCTTTCTTCTCTCCGATTGTCTCAGAGTCCAAGATTCACATCCGTAGGTCAGTATTGGGAATATTAAGCAGTTGATCAACCTCATCTTTATCGCTCTTGAAATTTGACAGTCCTTCCATATTTTGGTCATTTTTGCTGTGGCAACTTTTGCTAGATCACATCTACGTTTAATCTCTTCTTCTAATGACCCTGTGTTTGTGATTAATGATCCCAGATATAAGTATGAGCTCACAACCTCGAACCGGTCAATTGTGGTTATGTGTGGATGATTGTTGTGTAGTCTATCCACTACCATGATCTTTGTCTTTGATATGTTTAATTGCAGACCAAATATTTGACTTTCGTTTTCTATCAGTCCTATAAGTTCCATCAGCTCTGCTTGACTATTTGCAAGAAGGGCTGTGTCATCTGCGAAACGTAGGTTGTTTAGTTTATGACCATTTATTCAGATGCCCTTTTCCCATCCTTCAAGTGCTCTTCGCATAATATACTCCCCATATATGTTAAATAATTGTGGTGATAGTATACATCCTTGTCTGACACCCCGTTCTGGATGAAACTTGTTCGAAACTGTGTCAAGTACTTTAACTGATCCAGCAGTGTGTTCATATAATTCGGTTATAAGCGTAATTAGATGTTGTGGTACGCCTACGTCTTTTAGTATTCGCCATAAGTGTCTCCACTTGACCCTGTCGAACGCTTTACGGTAATCTATAAAACAGATGTATAGTGGGATGTTGAATTCCCTAGATTTCTCGATTATCTGTCTTATAATCAGCAGGTGTTCTCGAGTGCCTCTACCTTTGGTAAATCCAGTTTGTTCTTGTGGAATTTCTCTTTAAAGGAATGTTTTCAGTCTTTCATTGATTATATTTAGCATTATCTTGCTGGCATGGGATATAAGAGAGATAGTTCTATTATTTTCGCATTTATGGAAGCTGCCTTTTTTATGTATGGTCGTTATTGTAGATTTTGTCCAGTCTTCAGGCCATTGTTTGGAATGCCATATTTGGTTACAGAGTAGATGAAGTAACTTTACGCCGGTTTCTTCTGTGGCTTTAAGCATTTCTGCTGTTATCATATCTGGATCTGAATTTTATCTTTAAAGTTAAAAGTACGGAATGTAAAAAGAAATCGATATTTTTAGAATTTTTTTGAAAAATTTAATAATTTTTATTAATGTTTCCGACCTATTTGAGAAGGAGGGTTAGTCATTTATTATTACTAAACTAATTTTATTACTTAACTAATTATCACTAAACTATTTTTGCGAAAATCCAAATGCCACCTATCGCATCCACCCCAAAACAGATTTGATCTGGTTTGTATAAAATTTTATGGTCGTATTATTTGTTTATAATTTCTAAAACCTTTGCTAAAAGCTGTGACGAAATAAAGATATAAAAATAAAAAAAAAAACAATAAAAAAATTTTAATAAAAAATTAATAAACAATTAAAATAATTTAAACAAATAGAAAAGTAAAAAAAAATAATACCTAATTACAAATATAATTAACAAAGTCACTGAGAAGAACTAAACCCCCGAGGTGTTGAATAGGATTTATGTCAAGGCGTAGTAAAAAAATAATAAAAATGTAATAAAGAAATAATATAAAAATAATAAAAAAGAATAGTAATAAAAATAAAAAAAAAAATTAAAAAAAAAAATAAAAAACGGCAAAGTTTTTTAATAAAGTCTCTGCTTTTAAATAGAAAATGCAATATAATAGTAAGCTGAATGTAAGATGGATGTAGATACTAACCCTATCTTTTGTATAGAAAAAACTCAAAACATATTAACTGGCAAGTTGATTGTTGTTTGCTAGGATAGCAATATTTTTAGTAATTATTTATTAAAAATTAAAAAATGAAAATGAAAAATATACGTTATGATATTTGATTGTTTATGCATAAAACTAAGCCTTATTTAAAAAGAGTTGAAAAGATTTTTTATTACAAATTGAAATATAAATTTAAAAATGATTTTTAAGTTAAAATATCTCAGTGGCGTATCAATTTTTTCTTTAAAAATGCACGTCAATGTTAAATCTAAAATTCCTAATTGTATGTCAAAACTGGACAATAAAACCCCCTCTGTGGCTCAGTGGTAAGAGCGCCTACCTTTAAATCTAAAGGTCGTGAGTTCGAATCTCATCGGGTGGAAATTTTCGTTTATTAAAAATTAATAAATGAAAATAATTTCTATCCTTGTGCGATCGGTACTCACCGCAGACGTTCGGATACAATTAGCGTCTCTTAGCAAAGATAATGACGTCGACTTTGCTAAGTATCAAGACAATTACTCTACACACACACACACACACACACACACACACTACAATAGGTACCTGACTGTACCATGCCAATGATCATAGTTGTCGAGGCATTAACC